AAATTTACATCTCTTTATGACATGATTGAACTTCATCACAGCTTAATACCTGAAAATGCTATGTAAATGCCATTCCTAGCTTTAGCTCTTAAAAACATTTGTGTCTTTTTCCCATCTCATAGTGATTTATATGAGAGAGTTAACTGGTTTCTTTGAATGCCTTTATAGACTGTGTGAGATATGACAGCAGTCTTCCTTGCACATATTCATCCCAGTTATAAAGTTGTCTTGACTGTTGCCTTTTGAACTGATAGCATTAAATCTGGGTTTACAGTCAGTGTGACATGGCTGCAAGAGAGTTAAGATATGCATAGTAGTATGGCATATAATAGTATATTTGATGGAAGGAAAGAGATTCTTGCAAAGTTTTCATTTCTGCATTTTCCATTCTTCATTTGTCTTTTTCGCCCATTGTTCTCCAGTTTTTATAATTTGTATTGATGTTTAATCTTATCCAGTTGCCTTTCCATGTGTCATTTTCTCCATTGTAGTTCATAGCATTCTGATTTCTTCAATTCCAAGTCATCCTCCTCTCCCTATTGCTGTATTTCATCCTGTGTCTTAGCTATTAATAACATTCAGAAACACCTTTTCCATCCATATAATATCTGATTCTCTTCACTATAGCTGTTCATCATCTATGATTCTACAGTCCTCTTTTATCTTATTTCTTCTCATTTGTATTACTTCATAGATTAAATTCTTGGTTGCTTCGATGAAGAAAACGCAAACTAACATCATTTATGATGCCCATTATCGAGATTCAAATGTACTGCTACCCAAATAAACATCAGACAGAGTGAAGCTAAATTCTCCCTTGGAATATTTGAAGTGTTCCTATAGCTGAAGGTTTCCATTTCCATGACTGTTTACTGTTTCATCTGATGACATACACATTAAACGTGCAGTGACAACGAGTTATTTTATTGTGCAATCAACTTGGGTTCAAGAAATTATATATAATATTAATGTGGAGCTGTGTTGTAACATCATCTTTCCTCCTCACTTTCTTTCCTATGTCCCGGAACGTATTGGTTCATATCTTATGTGTGACAGAATTTTGCTGATAATAAAAACTGGTCAGCGGAGCATCTCGAAGGATGATAACGTTTTCAAAATCTAGTTAGTAATATATAATGCTTTTTATGCATTCTTTACACATATTCAGTGTATATAGAAGTCATATCTGTTTTCTCCACATTCCAATTTGAGAACCACGGGACATATTTGTATGAAATGTGAGATTGCAGAGTTGTACTAAAGTGTGTCACTCCCCAATATTGTTTAAAATCTGACAATAATAACCACTTTGCCAAGAGACCTAAAATTCATTTTAAAACACCTGACAGGTATCTTACTAAAAATTATCTGCATGAAAAATGTTTTGAACAGACTTGTAGGAAATAATTAAATGGATATTTTATGTCAGTTTCTTTACCATACAATGTAAGGTTTTCATTAAATTTTAAAGTTGCATGAAAACTTCAAAATAGAACTTCAAATTACATGTTAAATGTTATTCTCAGTTTAATGTTTGAATAAATTGTACATTAACAGTTTATCCTCAATTGTAGTTTAATGTTGGAGTTCAAACACAATCCCATTATATATGCAGTAATGTACTGTACTTTTATTCAAGTATCTAAAATACTACACAAGAGGTTATACTTTTCATGCTTGTGAAATCATAAAGAGTACTGTTAGAAACTGTGTTCTATGTCATTTTGAATTGAGCCATCACGTCAGTACCAATTTTGTAGAAATGCTAGTAATTTGATAAAGATCTCACGTGAAACAAGTTATTAATGACAAGTAAAATTTTTAAAACATTGCTTGTGATTAATGAAACTGGTAGAAGTCTGTTGGGTGGTCGTTAATGTCGTGGTGACCGTATGTATTATCTTCATTCAAATAACTGCTACGCCACGCACATTCACTTTTAAGGAGAAAGGCAAACAACCTGCACATATGCTGTGGTAGTGATTTTGAGATTGTTGTTTGTAACAGAAAGAAATATTTGGTCAAGGTGGGTTATGTTTTTAGATCTGTCTGTTTAATAAGGGAGGATGCTTTGTTGTTAAAGGGACAAACTCTCTTATTGGCAGTGGTCAGCCTCTCATAGTCCCAGGTATTTCTGTTAGGAAGATGTTGGAATTAAACTTACTGACAACATGGTAATTATTTAAGAGCTGGTCGAGTATGAAAGAAACGGTGGTACTACAGCATCGTTAGTTTGGTTTTGTCTTCTACATTGAAGTAGTGATTTGGCATGCACTTAAGTTAAGAATTATAGGTGAAGCATTCACTTGGTTTTAACTCATCATTTGATTAGATGATTAATTATCATAGATCACCACATTCTGTTTTACCGTAGAAAATATTTTTAATTTTATTTTCTGTAAGAATTTCCATTTAATTTTCATCTCCTTAATTTAAAAGTTATCGAACGTGCAAAATAAACAAAGCAGCAGTAACTTTGATATCAGTGACAAATTCGACTTGGAAATACAGAAAAACTCTCATATGGAAAAGAAGTAACTTGGTGGTTATTCCTGTGCCCAAAAACAGATATTTTTCAAGGTTGAAGT